GGGTGGGGGGGGGGGGGGGAGAGAATGAGAGAGAAAGAGGTGTGTGTGTCTGCCTCTCTGTGTATGTATGTATATATATGTGTGTGCTGTGTGTGTGCATGCATGCTAGATCATATAGCAAACTATGGTCAACCACAGTTCCCTGCTTGTTTCCTATATTAGTTAGTATCTCAACCACCTCTGTGGTTAAAAAAAAAACAATAATAACTACCTGCCACTGCCCCCTCCTGCCTTTATTTCTAGGGGCTAGGAGTTAAACATAGATAACCTGCCATCAAGATTTGGTCAGTGTATAATGCCATTGCTAAAATAAGTTAACCAAGTGGATACAAAATGTGATTAAGGTATTCTCTCTTAATTTTAATTTAGTCACTGGTCATGCTAAGGTGTAGTATGTTGTACAAACAAGTTCTGTGACTTAGCATGTTGCATGAATCAAGCCAATATCTTTGTTGAAGTTCTCTTAATCCCAGTCTTAATCTATTGTTTTTGTGATTTTCTCTACAGCTGAATTCTCTAACCTTTTTATTAATGAGAACTGGTTTTATTACTGGCTGCTCTTGTCAGGACTTGGAAGCTAGGTAGTGCTTGCATGCCTGGTTAGTACTTGTTAGCATCACAAGCAATTTCAAGACTGTATGTGAAACTTGAGTATAAAAAAATCTGGGAGAAAAACAATGGCAAACCACTTCCATACTTTGCCCAATAAACTATATGATTGTGTCCAAATAGCCGCTAGTAATTGAGCTCAACATGAAGGAATTTTACCTTTATGTCTGATTATTAAAAATAGACTGAGAGACTAATAACCTATACTAAAAATACATGATTTCATAATAGTTATTAAGCCAAGCATCTCAAATACTTGATGTTATTGGTTATCAAAAAATTATTAATTTTTGGAACAATTTTATTGTGGTAAGAAGCAGATAAGATGCTAAGAAATGTGAATAAAAGGCAAACTTTATCATTGTTTTAATGTGACAATTATACAACATATTGTGTAATCTGTATTAGTTGTACTTTTTCCCTTTTTTAATGTCTCTATCTTTGCATATCAACAAGTATAGACTATTTTTCTTGCCATGAGTTGTGCTGCTCTATAATCATATTCAGATGATTAAAAGAGACAGTTGATATTTTTACATTTCATTCCACCTCAGTTTGTTGTGGCATAAATTTGCTATTTTCACTAATTGCTGTGACATGTTGAAATTATTACTGAGTTTATAAAGAAATCATGTCTACACTTCTTATTTGTCAGTACTGTTGTGGAAGGTACTACTTTTGCCCTTCAAGGATCTAAACAAAAATCAAGTGTTATAATACAATTTCTGGGATTCAGTCATGCAGTTCTTAAAGTGTCTTGCTGAAAAGAATAGAGTAGATTATTAGCTAGTATAGCAGTAGTAGTGAGCAAACCTCCACATTCCAGTCCTGGAATGTTCTGGTATTCCTTAAAACATTTTGTTTTTCTCCTGGAACATAACCTGCCAACAGACTACATTTAGAACACAATTTCTTGTTCTAGAAAGTTCACTTGGAATGACTGAATTGATATGTTCAGGGTCAGGACATGGGGTTTTACATATAACTAACTATTCAGTGTGATGAGTTCTGTTTTGCATTTAACATTATTCTTATACAGATTTTATTAAATATTACGTAGGGAGTCTGCCACTGCATTCTGAGACATATTTAAAGCCAATTATTACATGGATTTTGAGTCAGAGTGATTCATTCTTCAATTCAGTTTGATCTGATTTTTCAAGTTTTTGGACAAGCTATCACAACTTTTTACTTTGTTAGCTAAATATTGCTTGGGTTAAATTCATGGGGGTGATTATACGTTCTACCTTTTGTACTACTTGAATGATGGTTATACATTTTGGTTATACCTTTTCAGACAATAGTAACTAATATAACTACTATTATTTACATTGAATGGTGACATTTATTTACATGCATCGGGTTTTTGTCTTTACATTTAAATCCATTCTATTTCTGTAGGCTTCCAAAGTAACAGATGAAATCCCTGTAATGGATATTTTGTGTGGCTGTTTAGAATATAAAACTGTATTGGATGTGGTGGTCAATGCATTTTATATCCGAGATGGAAAACATTGCCTATTTTCTGACCGTAATATGTATATTGGTAGGTATTCATTTGCATATAGAGAATATAATAATGTTAGAGAATTAGTCCAAACTAAGATAGGCAGTATCCTGTAGACACCAATTTGTTTTTGAATATATCTTGGTGCTTGCTGTAAAATTAATGTTTTCTTACATTCTTTTTTTTTTAATAAGTGAGAAACTGGAATATTACAAACACTTTACAGGCATTTGTAGAAAATAAAAATGGTAAATAGTAGCAATCAGATACTTTTATTAGAAATTTGTAGATTTATCTGGAAGAAAAGCAAAGGACATCTGCAGTAGTAGAGAACATCTTGGGAGACTGAAGAAGGTGACTTTGAATAATATCACCAATTGCCCTTTGTGTGTTCTGGGTGGCAATACATACCATGGTAGACATTTTGCAAAAACATAAGTTGTCCTACATCTACCATTTTGTGGGAACATTCATGACATGATTTCAGAATTTCAGATTTCAGGAATATGGTATATCCATGATCTAGAATAGGGATGGGCTGCCTTTTTCACTCTGGGCACAAACAAATGGGAGAGTAATCTGGGCAATGATAGCAGCAGCAGTTGTCTTCACAGCATTCACAGTCGCAGAACCAACACATTTAGTCTCTAGGTTCTTTTCGAAGAATCAACTTTAAAGGATCTTTATTGCTCTGTATTGTCCACTCTCTTGGTTCGTCCACTGGTCCCTTGATTCTTGTGTAATGGGTCCAACCTTTCTCTTGAGTGTGAACAGAGGTTTCAGTGGTTAGTAAGACCTGGAAGGGCCCCTCCCAAGTGGGGCTTAGCTTTTCGTCTCGCCAACCTTTGATCAGCACCCAGTCACCAGGCTTGTATCGGTGGACTACAAAATCGAATGGAGGGGTCTGAGCCAATAGTCCTTTCGACCTGAGGTGAGACAAAGAAAAGGACAGCCGCAGTATATAGTTTCTCAACATCACATCTTTTGTTTCAATTGAAGGGAACCCTGATGTTCTTCCCAAATATGGGAGCCCGAACATCATTTCATATGGAGAGATCCCCGTGTCTTTCCTTGGTTTGGTCCAAATCCTTAGAAGGGCTAATGGTAGGCACTTAGTCCATGGCAACTTAGTTTCTAACATTAATTTAGACAACACCTGTTTAATTGTGGCATTGGCCCGTTCAACTTTTCCAGAACTAGCTGGGTGCCAAGGGGCGTGGTAATCCCAATTTATTTCTAAGGCCGTCATTAGCCTTTGGACTATCTTAGCAGTAAAGTGGGTTCTGGAATCTCTATCTTAACACTTGCTTATTAACTTTCTTGCAGATTAAACACCTATCACATACTTGCTTAGCTATGGTATACATCCTATACATCCGTACTGGTTCAAGAATTCATCAGCCAGGGCTTGAGTTCCCCAATGGCTACCTTGGCGTAAAATGTCCAGCACGTTTCTGGTTAGGGCTGAATTTAGCATTTGTCTTCCATCTGGCAAAATCCACTTGCCATTAATTTCAACCGCTCCCAGCTTTGACAAATCAGCCTTTTCTTTTTCAGTGAAAACTGGATTCAGTTCCTTCTCTAGAGGGGGTACCAATAATCTAACTACCTCAACGTGTTCTCCTTCAGCTGCCCTTTTTGCTTCTTCATCAGCCAAAGCATTCCCTCTGGCTTCTTTACTATTGTTCCTCTGGTGGCCTCCTACATGTAAAATGGCCAGCTCACGAGGCAACTGGGCAGCCTCCAAAACTTCCTTAACTAGCTCTTCATGGATCAGTTTCTTTCCCTTGCTATTTATCAACCCTCTTTCAAACCAGATCTTCCCGAACATGTGTAAGATCCCGTACGCGTGCTTTGAATCGGTGTGGATATTTCCAGACCTGTTTTGTAACAGCCTCGAGGCTTGTCTTAGAGCGTACAGTTTACACGTCTGGGCGGACCAGTCTAAAGGCAACCTTCCCGCCTCCAGCAGTACATTCTCATCCCCATCTATCACAGCGTACCCATTCAACCTCTTTCCTTCCACCACTCTAGAAGACCCATCTATGAAAATATTCATTGCTTTATCCATGGGTGTATCCTTTAAATCAGGTCAGATTTTGGTTTGGAGATCTATTAATTCCAGGCAGTTGTGCTCAGGTGGTTCAGCCCCATCCCCATCACGACTCAGAAATTCAGCTGGGTTTACGTTGTGATCTATGGTTAATACTAAATCAGGCTGTTCTATTAGAACAGCTTCATATTTCAAAATGCGGGAATCGGTGAGCCATCTGCCTGCCTTTTGATTTAAAATCGTTCTTAATTGATGAGGGGTGCTTACTTGATGAGGGGTGCTTACTATCAAGCCCCCCCCAAAGGTTAACTTTTTACTTTCCTGGACCAGCAGAGCAGTGGCAGCCACAGCTTGAACACATACTGGCCCTGTGCTGCACCATTCTCCACGTTGACAAACAGATGGAAGGGTCATTCTAAATCTGGCAGGCTCAAAACAGGGGCAGTAGACAAAGCCTTTTTAAGTTCCTCAAAGTGGTTTTTTTCCTCAGCCTTCCAATTCAGTTCCCAAGGCTTGGAGTCTATCAATTTAGCATACAAGGGTTTGGTTCTTATGGCATAATCTTCAACCCACAGACAATATCCGGTGAGTCCAAGAAATTTTCTTAGTTCTCTTTTATTTTTAGGAAGGAGTTGGGTCACTATCCCCTTAATCCGGGAGGGAGTGATCCGTCGTTTCCCTTCACTAATCAAATGCCCCAGATATTTTACCTCCTGTTGTACATATTGTAATTTAGACTTTGATACTCTTAAACCCTGTTGCCCCAGGAAGTTCAATAAATTGTTGGTTGATAACTTGGTTTTTCTTTTCCCCTGAGATTAATAAATCATCTACATACTGAAGTAATTTAGTTCCTGGTTCTGGTGTAAAGTTTTCCAGGATTTGTTCCAGCACTTGCCCAAATAGATTGGGGGCTTCTGTGAAGCCTTGGGGAAGTACAGTCCAATGGTGCTGCATTTTTCTTCCTGTAAATGGGTTCTCCCATTCAAAGGCAAACAAATCCCTCGAAGCCTCGTCCAGCGGACAGCACCAAAATGCATCCTTTAAATCAATTACACTAAACCATCGATGTTCTGGTGTCCCAGAAGGGTGTAGGGATTTGGAACCACAGTGTGTCTGGCTTGGACTATAGAATTTAACAATCTAAGATCCTGCACCATTCTGTACATGCCATCTGGTTTGTGCACTGGCAGAATCGGAGTATTGTATGGTGACATGGAGGGTTCCAATAACCCATCCTTCAACAAGCCATCAATTACTGGTTGCAAACCCTTTTTCCCTTATATGGAGATGTCATATTGTTTCTGCTTTAATTTCACCTTTAGGGGTGGAATGTTTAATCCCCCCCATTGCCTTCTTTGACCCAGACTATTGGGTCTATGTCCTTTTCATCTTCCTCAGTAAGGAGGAAAATATCTTGGGCATCAGGCAGGGTCTGGAGTGATTTTTCAAATTATATTTTTATTCCAAGAAGGGCCATAGCATCCCTTCCCAAGAGGTTGGTCCCTGCTTCAGGAACATATAACATTTCTAATTCAACTTGGTCTTCTCCTAATTGCAAAGTTGTGGGTTTAATTCAAGATACATAAAACACCTTTACTCCCGAGACTCTGCTCTTTTCTCTGGAGAGTTCAGTTCCCGGAGGTAAAGAGGAAAGAGAGGTTTTCAACACTCCTGTATCCACAAGAAATACCACCTCTTCTCCCAAGGATCCCACTTTTAAATTTGTCAAGGGCTCCCGGTGGGATCCTTTTATCAGGTGCCCCTGACCTCCCTAATCTTCTAATTCGATCAAGGAGTATACTTGTTGTTCCTTATCTATTTCTTATCTTTTTGAGGGACAGTCTTTCCAGAAGTGTCCAGCCTGGGCACACCCGTAGCACTTCCTTTCAGGCCGGGGAAGTTCCTGGTATTCTAGTAAATCCCTATCTTCCGTCCCTCCCAAGTGATGTTCTTCCAACCCTGCGCCCCACCCTACCTCTGCCTGGCCTTACATCTGGTCGGTTCTCTGATTTATCTGCAGGGCAAACTTTTCTGCTAACTATTTCATTTACAGTACTTATCATTTTATTCTTTTGTTTCATCTTTTCAGTATCTCTGTTGACATAGACTTTTTGGGCTTCTTTTAATAGATCATTTAATGGTTTATCAGCCCATCCATCAAGTTTTTGCAACTTTCTTTGTACATCGGGCCATGTCCTAGTTACAAAATGGACTTTTAACAGTGCCTGATGTTCAGCAGCATCTAGGTCCATGCCAGAATATTTTCTCATGTTGTCCTTAAGACGTTGTAAAAAGGCACTTGGTGTTTCCTCTTTTTCTTGTTCTATATTGAAGGCTCTAGTTAAATTTTGATTTTTGGGTACTGCCTCTTTTATTCCTGAGACTATCATGGCTCACAGATCTTTCATACTCTGTCGATCTGTGTCATTATTATTTTGCCAGTTGGGTCTTGCAATGGGAAACTTCTGGTCCCCTTGGGTATTATTGTTTGGTCCCACAGGGTTTTGTCTGTCCCAAACTCTGATGGCTGCGCTCTGATCAACTGGCATTCTTCACTAGTGAATAGAGTTGTTAAAATTGCCATTGTCTCTTCCCAGGAATAAATGCTAAATCCTAGAAAGACATCAAATTGCTCAGCTACCCCCAAGGGGTCTTCTACCAAACTTTTCATCTGCAATTTAAAAGCTCAGACTTCTGAACTGCTCAATCGGTCTTGAACATAACTTATTACTGGAGCTCCATTGGTGTCTATGCCACTTGGCACCTCCTTTAAAGGGAACATTTTTTTATAATCGGTTAAATTCCTCCTCCTCCTTGTTTGGTTGTATTCTGGTAACTCATCGTCTTTCAGATCATCTAATAAGGCTTTTAATTCCCAAGAATAATCACCAGGAGGTCTTGGGATTATAGGTCACCACCTATAATGTGGGCTGAGGAGGAGGGAGGATTGGTGCCTGGGGAACGGCTGGAATTTGGTTCCCTTGATTTAAATGTGGATTGTAAGGTGGAGGTAAATGGTCCAGAGAGTTCCATTTCTTTACTGGGACCTCTCCCTCTGTCTCTTCTCCTTGATTCTCTGCCACTAGTTTAAAGCATTTCTCTTCCTCACTTATGGTCCAAACTTCAGCATAAAATCTCTCTAATTCAGATGGCTTATTTTTGTTTAAAAATTCTTTTAGTGCTTGACATGTAAAATAGTCAGTTGTACCAAACTGTGGCCAATAAACTGAATCCCCTTGGATCGGTTTCTTGGGCCATACAAAATAACAATATATCACCATTTTCTCTTTTTCTAATTCTAGGATATACTTTCTCAGTGGTGGGACATCCCATCCACTTAACATCCTGCCTAATGGGCTTTCTGCAGGAATCTCTGGAACCTTACACTTAGTAGTTCCCTTCCATACAAAATAACAATATATCACCATTTTCTCTTTTTCTAATTCTAGGATATACTTTCCCATACAAAATAACAATATATCACCATTTTCTCTTTTTCTAATTCTAGGATATACTTTCTCAGTGGTGGGACATCCCATCCACTTAACATCCTGCCTAATGGGCTTTCTGCAGGAATCTCTGGAACCTTACACTTAGTAGTTCCCTTCTGACCCTTTTTGCTAGTGTTATTTCCCATCCTGACTGGATATTTAAAGGCTTTACTGAGACTTTCAATCACATATGTTTAACCAAACCAATTGCTTCATCCGTCTCTGGCCAGGCTCCTCGTGGAGAACTGGAACCGCAAATTGGGACTCTGCTCTCGCTTCGCACTTTCAGGGACCTGTGTCCCCTAATGTGTCTCACACCGCTCCGTCATTCAAGTCTCTCACACACACCAGTCCTACCTGACCTCCCAGGTAATACTTTGCGAAAGCCTGGGTTTCTTACCTGGTTTCATGCACGATTTTCAGGTCTCAGCCGTTTTGGTGGGAAAAATGTTGTCAGGAATTCACCCTAGTCAGTTTGCCCTTCTGAACCACTATTTCCAATCCAGTCCTTTAATGGGCGACGGGATACGAAAGTTACAGCTCCCCTTAGGCTACTGAAATCAGTAGGGCGTCTCCCAGGAGAGGGCTTGCAGCCCCGGACTTACCGAATGCCGTTTCAGGATCCCGGACGAGTCCCCAATTGTGAGAAACAAAGCTGCATAAATAATCCTTGGATTTGCAAAGGCAAAGTTTATTTCGAAGCATTTGCAAAGGCTGATGCTTCTCAGCTAGCAGGCTGCAAGAAGCGTACCATTAGAGATTTCAGCAAGGTTTTTATGCATCCCTTCACATGTTGTGTTGGTCCTGCCTCGTTTTTGCCAGTGGGCAAATTCGACTTCACAACCTATCCGAGACTCCTAAAACAAATACATTATTTCTTTTTTACAATGATTCCCAAACCTCTTTTTTCTTGTTCACAGTTTATAATTTTCTTGAGATAAGTGTCAAGGCCCAGGACCATCTGTCTTCACTAAATAACTGCCCTTGGTGTTGTTATCTTTTCTTCCCTGATTCACACATTCTTACCAACAAAAGGCAACACTTGTTTCATTAACTTTCATCCCCATGTCTCGCCTGGGTGTGACTCTTTCCTTTTTTTGTAAACACATTCAAATTCCAAGCCTAAGCACTTTAACCCTTAAGTATCAGAAAGTCTTGTTACCAGGAAGTTTTGTTAAAAGGTAATTTCTATTCCTTACAGTTGTCCTACATCTACCATTTTGTGGGAACATTCATGACATGATTTCAGAATTTCAGATTTCAGGAATATGGTATACCCATGATCTAGGATAGGGATGGGCTGCCTTTTTCAGCCTGGGTCCTATAGTTCATTTGCCTGACTGGTTAATGGATTACAAAAGTTGTTGGAGTGATATGGAAAAGGGGCAGAAATATCTGTTGATTATGTATGTTAAGAAAGGGAATGACAGCATTTAACCTTAAAAAGGCCTTGCAGGCTGATACTGTTACTTTACTGTTTTTGACCCCAAAAATGCCATTGAACATTGGTTATTTTACAATCTCAAGGTGGCTTGGTGGCCCCAAATAGAGACCCTAAATATAACCTGCAGCCTGTGAATTGCCAAATCTGGTCTGTGGGATTCATGATTTCATAAATATTACCAGTGGGTTTCTTGCTGTAGTAGCAACAATGCAGAATTGTTGATATCTTTATTGGCATTTGGATGTGGCTACCTTGATATCTGTGCTTGAGAAGATTTAAAATTTATATTATTGTTGACAGATATGTAGCTTCTGAATTTAGGATAATAATAACAAGCAAATCCATGTAAGATTTTAGCTTTTAGAATGTTAAAACTGAACTTCTAAGCATAGTTGCTGTACTTTAATATCTATTGAATTGTTTAGAATGTTTTAAACATGTGTACTGTATATACTGACAGGCTTCAAAGTTTTTCCCACAGTAACTGCTTAACTTTGGAAGTTAAGGGCTTTGTAAGTGGAAGTAATGCTAAAATCTGCTTTGAGATCCTTGTCTGAAGCTTTTCTCTGATAAAGGAAGGGATTTCTTTGAACTGGTTTAATGTTCCTCAGAAATTTCCTGTTCAAGTACTATATTCTGATTTTATGCTTTTCCAATAAAATCTACCACTTTTTCATATATGGATGTTACTGCTAACAAAGTTTTCAGTTACTTTTTGTTAGTGTTTTTCAGGCAAAGTGGAGTTTTCCTGTTGTCCTACAAAAAGTAATCTTGTGAAAATATTGATGTTTAGAAGATATATTAATTATAAAAATATAAAATATAAAATATATTAAAAGTATAGCAGTAACTCTATATATGCTACTAGTGACAGTAGTTATATATATGGATGGTTAGTGGACAGTAGTTAGATATATGGGACAGTAGTTATATAGATGGGTATAACTTGCGATAATGAAAAAATAGATGTGCAACATGACATCACAACATTAACCTCAGCCTTTTGTACTTGTGCCCCAACAGTAGATATAAGAATCTGAGTCATGTAATTTATGTTGTGACATTATGATGCATTTTGTTATTTGCCTCCCCCCACCATCCCCACCCAATACCTATATTTGGAGAAAATGTTAGAAACACTCGTTTTAAATTTTAGAGAAGAAATCTTTAATAGGATTAATTATTCACTTTGTCTTGAATATTAATGTATGTGTCTTCTATAGTTATTTGTTATTTGGCTACTTTTCGACTGGAGGAACTTGGACTTCAACAGTTCAACAAAATCATCAAATCAATGGATGTTGCTAAGATATGTAAGGTAATTAAAATATTTGCATTTCATTAGAATTAAACAAAAATAATCCAATACTGTTGTAACCTAAATTGTATATATTTTTTCTGACTACTTTAAATTGTGAATGACTATTCAAAGCTACTGTTTTTTAATACTTATCTTGTATTAGCAGTGGACAAGTCTTTGAGTTTATAGGTATAGATACATCCCTCATCTACTACAGAGCTGTAAATGTTTTCAGAATTTAAAAAAAGGTAAGTTATAAAATTAATATATTTAAGAGAACACAGAGTGACTGGACACACCATCAAATTTAATTATAATTTATTTTAACCAAAATTTATTGAATACGTTTCAGTCACTGGGTTGGCATCTAGTGCTAGATCATGAAACATGGATTACAGATTGCACAAGATGGTAACCCAAAGCCAAATCAAAATATATTCCTTAGCAACATACATAAAAGCATTGTAA